AACCAGAGGGCTGGCGGTTCAAACCCACCAGCCACTCCTCGGAAGGAAGGTTGGGCAATCCTACTTCCGTAGTGATACTGCCTCGGAAACCCAAGGAGGGATCACTATGAGTCAGGTTTGACTCGACGGCACATAACAACAACAACAACAACATCAATAGATCATCTCTATGGATACAGAAAAAGCATTTGATAAATTTCAACATCTTTTCTTGATGAAAACCCTAAGGAGGATTGGAATAGAAGGGAATTCCTCAATATGATTCAGAGCATATATATAAAACCAACAACCAACATTATCCTTAATGGAAAAGAGTGAGAGCTTTCTCCTTGAAACTAGGAACAAAACAAAGATGCCTGCTTTCACCACTTCTATTCAGCAGTGAATTAGAAGTTCTAGCCAGAGCATTAAGACAAGAAAAAGAAATAAACAATGAAAAATGAATGAATAATTAAATAAAAAATGAAAGAAATTTCATTTCTCTGAAAACAGAGAAATGAAATTATCTCTATTTGAAGACAACATAATCTTTAATGTGGAAAATCCCCAAGAACCCACAAGAAAACTTTCAAAGCTAATAGAGAAAAGTTAGCAAAGTTGAAGAGTAAAAGGTCAATAAATTACAATCAGTTGGATTTCTACACAGTTATTGTTGTTGTTGTTGTTGTTGTTATGTGCCATCAAGAAAGACGTGACTCATAGCAACCTCTCCTTGGATTTCCGAGGCAGTACCGCTATGGAAGTAGATTGCCCAACCTTCCTTCCGAGGAGTGGCTGATGGGTTTGAACCGCCAGCCTTCTGGTTTGCAGTCAAGTGCCTCAGGCACTGTGCTACCAGAGCTCCTTTCTATACCGTAGCAATGAGAAATCTGAAAGGGAAATTAGGGAAACAATTCCATTTACTACAGCATCTAAGAGAAGAAAACACATTGGGATAAATCTGACCAGAAGAACTGGATGGAATTCTGCTTTCGTTATTGAACATTTTGCTCACAATATATAGAAAAATTCTGATCAAAAGGGTGAGAATGCAGAACAGATTTTCAAATTCTCATGGACTCTAGATTTCCTGAAGCCATGAAGGTTGGATGAACCCCTGACACTACTACCCTGAGACAATGTTTAAACCTTAAACCAAAAATATCCCCTGAAGTCTTTTTAAAACCAAACAATAGTTTAGCTTATGTAGTAAAAAATATCTGCCTTGAGCTTTATGTTCTTTTAAAAACTATCTATAGAGGACTACACTGGTAACAGCAACTCCAAAGATTACATAGAGGGCAGTGAATTTATGATAATGGGAACAACTCAAAACAAGGAGAGTGAGAATGGCTGTACAACTTAAAGAATAAAATCAATGCTACTAAATGGTACATGTAGAAATTGCTGAACTGGTATGTTTTGCTGTGTATATTCTCAATAAAAACTGTAAAATAAAAAGACCCTCATATCTTTAAATTTAACTTACTCTGTATTTTTTCTATGCCCTGAAAATACATTAAATTACTTTACTTATATATTCTTCTGGATCTTCTATAGAAAGTATTATCCTCATGCTTAGTATGCTTACTTCTAAGCTACTCTATATTTATAGGATAATTAATAAACCACAGATACAAAAATTATAGTAAGAAAAACAAATAGGTTAGTGAAAATAATAGTTTAAAGATATACCTCTATGGTACCATCAATATTCTGTTGAAGACAATTTCCAGGGTAAACTGTTTTCCGTACATCAGATTCAGCAATTACCAGCGAATCAACAGAGACACTAAATATAAATATAAAAGTGCAAAAGAATTAGATGGTTGTGTTTTACTGTTAATCCAAATTTATAATCTGCATAAAATGTGTATTGGCCTTGTTGTTCTTATGTATCATTATGCTGACATCAACCCATAGGGACCCCATGTGACAGAGTGGAACTTCCCTATAGAATTTTCTAGGCTATCATCTTTATCAGAGCAGATTGCTAAATCTTTCTCCTGTGGAGCCAAAAGGTGGGTTTGAACTGTCACCCCTTCAGTTAATAGCTGAATGTGTAACCACTGCACCACCAGGGCTCCTTGTGTCTTGGGGTAGGGAAATAAAGAAAATGATAATTTAAGGGTTATCCAAAAAAAAATAAATAAAAACCTGACTTCTGTAGAGTCGATTTGACTCATAGCAACCCCACCTTGGGTTTCCGAGGCAGTATCTCACAGAAGTAGACTGCCCAATCTTCCTTCTGAGATGTGGCTGGTGGGTTTGAACTTCCAGCCTTCTGGTTAGCAGTGAAATGCCTTTGGCACTATGCCACCCGAGCGTCCATTAAGGGTTATAAGTATTTTAAATTATATAATATTTTGACTAAATGTTCTACCTAAAACTAACACAATTGAATGTTTTAACAGATCACCATTAAATTTTGTGCCATTTTATAAAGTCTACTTTAAAATATTTATTTAAAACAACAACAACAAAACCCAAACCAGTTGCCATCAAGTAAATTCTGACAAATGGTAATCCCATGTGTTTCAGAGAGTAATTGTCCACAATGGGGTTTTCATGGCTGTGACCTTTAGAAGCAGTTTGTCAGCCCTCACCTCTGAGGCTTCTCTTGGGTTCAAACCACCAACCTCCTTGTTAGTTGTTCAGTCCTTAACCCTCTGTGCCACCCAGGGACTCCTTGATCATTAGACAACCAAGCAGAGGAAGTCCAGTCATTACAGGATCATACTTGATATTCCCACAACAAATTAGCCAAGACAAGATATAAAACAAATATACTGCCTAATTTAATCCAGCAGATTAGTAACAATCCGCATCTTTATGTATGTGTTGTAAAATTCCTATAATAAAACATCTGGTTTACACTGACATTTATTTTACACATTTCAAAGATACTCTAATTTCTTGATACTGCTGTACACCACCTCTTTCAAGGAACTTTGCTTTCGCCATTTTTTCTTAAATCAACCACTGTGAGATGATACAATGATTATCATTGAGTTACAAATACTGCTGAATGAAATTACAAGCAGATAGATACTGTGGTAATTAAGGTTATATGTCAACTTGGCTGGGCCTGGTTTTGAGTGGCTGGGCAGCTAGATGTAGTATTCCCCATGATGAAATTGGTAATCAACTCCATGGTGGAATCTATTGTGAGCAGCTGAGTAGCTGCTTTAGGGATGTGGTCTGCTCCCACTATATAAGGAGAAGCTTTAGCAATGATCTGTAGCTTCTGGCACACTTGAATCCTGCCTGCATGTAGGCAAGTCATTGTTCAGCTGCCTGCCAGGTTGTCCACTGATCTTACAACTGTTATTAGACTTGAATCAGTGGTGCTAATACTGTTATTGGACTTGAATTGCGTGGTTTGGTAATACTGGGACTGTGACTTTTTACTTGTCAACCTTGGGTTTGTCAGCCTCAGAAGCCAGCAGCTGCCTGAGTGAAAAAAGCCTCCAGCTTCAGTGGGCCAGAATCAAGAGGTACAGCTGAAGCCCAAGGTTGAGGGGCTTTTACCCAGCCCCTAGAACTTGGCACTTTGAACTTGGACTTCTAGCCTCCAAAACTGTAAAAGAATAAACTGTTTGTTATAGCCACCCATTCATGGTATTTTCTGTTAGAGCAGCATGAAATAACCAAAACAGGTACCTTGGCTGAAGAGAGGACTCGCTAACAACCTGAAGCCTCTTCTGCAAAGAATGTATCTCTGCTCCATAGTTTTCTTCAGCTTCTTTCAATTGCTGCTGCAAAGAGGATGTGAAGTTTTCTAATTCTTGAATTTGCTCTTCCAGTTGTTTAATTTTTTTGATATCTTGCAGAGAAGATAACTTGTTTTTATGATTGACATCTACGTTATATGAATAAAAGAAAATGGACATATCAATACAATTTTTTACTGAAACACCATAATCGCTTTTTTTTTTTTTTTTTTGGCCAAGTATTCATTTTCCGTTGGAAAGAAATGACTTTTTGTGCTAATAACCCAGGTTTCAATTTACATCCATTCTGACTGATGAAAATACAAATAATGCAACTCAAGATTACTCTCCATACTCATGGCTGCAGTATCCCTAACCTTGCCAATTTTACATCTTCAAGCAATTCAGAATCACAGGCTAAGAAGTGGTAATGTGTCTTATCAATGTTGGTGACTAGAAATACCCTCAATCCAGTTACCCAAGACAGAAACCTAGGAATCCTCCCTGATTCTTGCCCCCTTTCACAGCTAACAGAAAGAAGACTGGGCAATCTACTTCCATAGAGATACCGCCTCGGACACCCAGGGAGGGGTCGCTATGAATCAAACTGACTCAATGGCAATAAGTTTGGTTTGGTTTTGACTTTTCACTACCAAAATCAACTAGAGACTACTGCCTACCTCTTTAACTCTTTCTATCCTCAATGACACTGTCTTAAATTAATTTAATATCTTACTGTTTATCAGAATTACTGCCACAGTTGTTTAACTGGTCTTCCCATCACTAATCTTACCTCCCCCAATTAATTCCAATGGTATTATCTTGTTTAAAATCACCAGCAGGTCCTACCACCACTAGTATCAAGCTTGCTTCATTCACAACAAATAAAGCTTTTTCTGATCAAGCTCCTGTCTATCTCTCTGGTTTGACCCCTCCTACATTCTCACACATTTTAAGCTCTCAATTTCCCAAAATGGTTGCAGTCTCTCATACTTCTATGCTTACAACTCTGGAGTCTTCTCCAATTCTAATCTCCCTGTTCCTGCTCACAAACTCACCCTACTCAATCTCCCAGAAGCACTACATATTTCTCCTCTCCTTCCAGTCTCGCACTCATTTTTCGTTTATAGAAATTGTGCTACTGTTTGCTAATAGTTATATTTTCTTTTCATACGTTTTCCTACTGGATTGTGACTTCCATTGGTGATGTCCACTTTCTAAAGCGCTTAAAAGAACGTCCAACAATTTTATGAACAAAAGACCTCAAGACTGGGATATGCAATTGGCTTCTTCTATTGGTTTGTAAGACAATAACAACAACAAAAAAAATAGTGACATGGGGGCTTTAAGTCATACTTATTTATCTATCTTATCATTTTGTTGGGCGCTCTGGCAGCATAATGTCTAAGGCACTTGACTGCTAACCAGAAGGCTGGTGGTTCAAACCCACCAGCCACTCCTCGGAAGGAAGGTTGGGCAATCTACTTCCGTAGTGATACTGCCTTGGAAACCCAAAGGGGGATCGCTATGAGTTGGGTCCTACTCGACGGCACATAACAACAACATCATCATTTAGTCAGAACCATTTACCTGTTTCTTGTGTTTTTATATTCTGTAGCTCTAACTGGTGTATTTTCTGAAGTTCCTTGACCATTTCTTCTTGAGCAGAAATAAGTTCCTCTTTAAGATTGCAAAGAGCTTTATCTTTTTCATTTTCCATATATTCACGAACCTGATCCACATGAGTTGAATAAACCAGAGACAGGCATATGCGTTGGGCTTCCATCTGTAGCTTTAAATCATTCTTAAAGTAAATGTACATACGCATTAGACATTTTAAAATGACAAATCAAATTATTTAATTTTTAATACTCTCTATATATTAACTACAAAGGACAAAAATACATGATAGGTAAAAATTTATGTAAGAGAGCTAAGTCTAATGTTCTTCTCTCTTCATTCTACTGCACTGATCTACTTCTTTTTCTAAGAAAGTTGCATAGTGTTTTCATTACCCTAACTTTACTTTAGTAAATTCTGATATTTGGTATTGCTACTACTGCCTCATCTTTTATTTTTGTTTAAAAATTTTTAAATGTAGAAAAATGCAAATAAACATCTAAGAATTACTATTACAACCCAAATTAACAAAAACTAGGATTCTGTCTTATTTTTTGCTTTAGCTCATTATCCACTCCCTATATATATATTTTTTTAAAAAGAAAAAATAACTATTAAGTAAACTTATAAGAAATAAATACAATTGTTCTACACATGTTCTCATGTATGAGCCCTGATGATGCAATGCTTAAGAACTGGGCTGCTAATCAAAAAAAGACTGGTGGCTCGAGCCCACCAGCTGTTCCACAGGAGAAATATGTGGCAGTCTGCTTCCATAAACATTTACAGCCTTGGGAACCCTATGAGGAGGCAGTTCTAACTTGTACCCTAGGGTCACTGTGAGTTGGAATTGACTCCGGCAGAAACAGGTTTGGTTTTGGTTTGGGGTTCCCATTTGTTCTTCCCCAGATGCAATCATTATCACAAATTTGGTTCATGTTTTTCTCTCATACTACAACTTCTCTATTTATCTATAAACAATGTATTATATTTTGTGCTTGTAATTATTTACATAAATGATATATTTATTTAGTAAACTGCTTTTCTCATTTGATATGCCTCTGAGATCTATCCATGCCAATACAAGTTAGTTTATTTTAACTGTAGTGTAGTATGAATATACCACAATTTATCCATTTACTTTCTGAAAATCAACTTGGTTATTTCTAATTTTTTTGATATTTCAAAATATGCTACTCTTACATATCTCCCCTTGGACACATCTACTAGTGTTTTTCTAGCATAGGGGTTCTCAAATTTCACCATGTATCAGAATCATCTACAACGTTCATTAAAACAGTTAACTGGGACCTACCCCAAAAGTTTCTGACTTAGGTCTAAAGGAAGGCTGAGAATTTTCATTCTAACCTGTTTCTAAGTGATGCTAATGCTGCTGCTCAGGGACTATCCTTTGAGAACTACTAAGAAAAGTAGTTGCTAGATCAAAGATAATATACATTTTTAACTCACATATTTTACCAAATTATAATTATTTGAATATTTTACTTTTGTTGAGAATATACACTGCACAACAAACACCAACTCAATTTCAAACACCAATTCCTTTCTCCACGTACCATTTAGGAAGTGATCACATTCTTCGAGTTGTGCAACTATCCTCACCCTCCTTTTCTTGACTTGTTCCTCCCATTAACATAAACTCACTGCCCCCTACTTAATCTTTTGAGCTGCTGTTACCAATTCAGTCCCATATAAATAGCTCTTAAAAGAGCATACTGCTCAAGGCAGACATTCTTTACTGTTGTTGTTTAGGGTCGTCAAGTTGTCTCTGACTCATAGTGACCCTCTGCACAGCAGAACCAAAAACACTGCCCGGTCCTTTGCCAGCCTCACGACCCTTGTTATACCTGAGCCCATTGTTGTAGCCACTGTGTCAATCTATCTCATTGACCCTTTTTTGTTGACCCTCCACTTTACCAGGCATCATATCCTTCTCCAGGGAATGGTTCCTTCTGACAACATGACCAAAGTAGGTGAGACTAAGTCTGGCCATTCTTGCTTCCAAGGAGCATTCCAGCTGCACTTCTTCCAGGGCAGATTTGTTAGTCCTTTCAGCAGTCCATGGAACTTTTAGCATTCTCCAACACAACTCAAAAGCATCAACTCTTCTTGGGTCTTCCTTATTCATTGTCCAGCTCTCACATGCATAAGAAGCGACTGAAAATACCATGGCTTGGGTTAAGAGCATCTTAGTCTTCAAGGAGACATCTCTGCTCTTCATCATTTTGAAGATGCTAAACTATTGCTTGTTTTTAAGAAGATTCTAGGGGATATTTCTGGTTAAAGGTTTAATGATTATCTCAGGATAAAAGTTTCAGGGGTGTATCCAACTTTCATGGCTCCAGGACATCTGGTGTCCATGAGAATTTGAAATTCTGTTGTGCATTCTCTCTCACCCTTTTGATAGCATTTTTCTATAGACTCTTTGAGAAAACTGTTCAGTAACAATAGCAGGGCACTATCTGGTGGCGTAATGCCTAAGGAATCTGACTGCTAATCAGAAGGCTGGCAGTTCAAACCCACCAGCCACTCCTCAGAAGGAAGGTGGGCAATCTATTTCCATTGAGACACTGCCTTAGAAACCCAAGGAGGGGTTGATATGAATCGGATTCGACTCGACAGCAGTAAGTATCCAAGTCTTCTGGTCTCATGGCAAAGGAAGCAGCTGTTCATGAAGGCAATTAGTCACACATTCCATATCCTACTCCTATTACTGACTTCCATTATTTTTTGTTGCTCCATGCAAACTGACACCAATTATTGTGCCCTGGAACATCCCAGGCACTATACAATGAACTAAGAGGTAGAAGAGAAGCACTAACACATTATTAGGCCAATTAACTGGGCTGTTCCATGAAACCTTCGCCGTAAATCTACAAACCAAGGAAACAAATCCTATGAGGGTTTGGTTGTACACAGTAGCCTCAGCAGCTAGTTTTTTTTTTTTTTTTTCCTCCCATCATCATCGTAAATACATATATATATATATATATATCACAAATTTTACCAAATTATTTATGTGACTGTACAAATATACAGATATCAGCAGTGTGAATACCCATCTCTCCACATCCTTATGAATACATTTTTATTGTTAAGCTTATTTATGCCAATTTTATTAGTATAAAATGCTATTTTATTATTGTGTTAATTTGTAAAATTGAAGTATTTCATGCTTATTGGTCATTTTTGTTTCCTGTTCTGAGATATGTCTATTCATATCTTTTGTTTATTTTCAGGTTTTTCAATCTCTTCTTATGTAAGTATTCTTTATATATTCTTCATATTAATCCTATGTTGTTCATATGTGTCACACATACCTGGTCTTAGTCCTTAAACCATTATTATGGTATCTTTTGTATAAAACAAGCTCTGGTGGCATAGTGGATAAGGCATTTGGCTGTTAACCAGAAGGTCAAGTGGTTCAAACCCACCAGCTGCTCCATGAATAGAAGATAGGGCAAGGCAAGGAAGCCGTGGAATGGGGGTGGCTATGAGTCGGAATCAACTTGATGGCAGTTGAGTTTTGAGTTTTGTGTAAAACAGATAATAAAATTTATTATTTGTTCCTGTGTATTTTTGTCTTCGTTAAAAGTCCTTCCTATCTCAAGATGATGAGGAACCTGTACATAGACCAGGAGGCTGTTATTCAAAAAGAACAAGGGGATCCTATATGGTTTAAAATCAAGAAGGGAATGCATCAGGGTTGTACGCTTTCACCATACTTATTCAATCTGTATGTGGAGCAAATAATCCGAGAAGCTGGACTATATGAAGAACACAGCATCAAGATTGGAGGAGGGCTCATTAACAACCTGCAATAAGCTGATGACACAACTTTGCTTGCTGAAAGTGAGGATGACATGAAGCACTTACTGATGAAGACTGAAGACTACTGCAGTATGGATTACATGACAATATAAAGAAAACAAAAATCCTCACAACTGGACCAATAAGCAGCATCATGATAAATGGAGAAAAGATTGATGTTGTCAAAGACTTCATATTACTTGGTTCTACAATCAACACCAATGGAAGTAGCAGTCAAGGTATCAGATGACGTACAGCATTAGGCAAATCTGCTGCAAAAGACCTCTTCCAAGTGCTGAAGAGCAAAGGTATCTCCTTGAAGACAAAGGTGTACCTCACATAAGCCATGGTATTTTCAATCGCCTCATATGCATGTGAGAGCTGAACAATGAATAAGAAGATCAAAGAATAATTGATGCTTTTGAGTTGTGGTGTTGGCGAAGAACGCAGAAAGTACCATGGACTGCTAAAAGAACTAACATATCTGTCCCGGAAGAAGTGCAGCCAGAATGTTCCTTGGAAGTGAGAATGGCCAGACTTTGTCTCATCTACTTTGGTCAGGTTGTAAGAAGGGATCATTCCCTGGAGAAGGATATCATGCTTGGTAAAATGGAGGGTCAACGAAAAAGGGGAAGGCCCTCAACAAGATGCATTGACACAGTGGCTACAACAATGGGCTCAGGTATAACAAGGATCATGAGGCTTGCACAGGACCGGACAGTGTTTTGTTCTGCTATAGACAGGGTCGCTATGAGTTGGAAACAACTCGACGGCACCTAACAACAACAACAATATCTCAAGATCCTATTTTATTCTGGTCAGCAATCTGGAGATTTTTTTTTTTTAAATAAAGGATAAGGATCTAATTCTCTAACCTTCCATCACCAGTATCAAAAGCCAACTATTTCAGAAAGTATTTATTAAATACTATAAACTTTTCTCATTGATTTGCTTTCTCATTTCACTCAAGGCTGTTCAAGTATTACATCACCAGAGTGGTCCTCTCTGACCAACCCTATATAAAAACAGCACCCACACCCCATCTCTAGTAGATCTGTCTTCTTTCCATGCTTTAATTTTTAATTTTCTTCATAGCACTTACCTCCTGTTATGTTACAGATCTGCCTATCTCATTTAAAGTTTTCCTAACCACCCTAAAATATAAACTTTCTTCTTTATTATATATTTTTATCTGTGTCATATCCCAATGCTTGTAATGTAGTAGAGGCTCATTAAGTATTATTAATACATAATTTTTGGATCTCTTCTATTATATCCCAAAACTTCACAAGGGTCTTGGTAAGTTTTGGAACTTCCATTATGTTCCATTGATCTATTTGTCCATCTGTGCATCAAAACCATACTGTCTCTACTATGATGTTGTAATAAGTCTTGACATCAGAAAAGATAAATTACCCCCATTTTAATTCTTCTAGTATTGTCTTAAGGAGCTCTGGTGGCATAGTGCCTAAAGCATTTGACTGCTAACCAGAAGGTTGGAAGTTCTAACCTGCCAGCCACTCCACAGAAGGAAGACTGGGTAATCTACTTCCATAAAGATTGACTGCCTCAGAAACCCAAAGCAGGTCACTATGAGTTAGAATTGACTCGATGACAGTGAGTTTGTTTTTTGTTTTTTTTTCAAGGACTGTCTTGAATATTCATGAATATTTTCACTTCTACATCAATTTGAGCAACCACTATTCAAGATCCATGAAAAATCTTGCTGTAATTTTTGTGTGTGTGTGTGTGATTTGGGTGAAAATTTACAGAGCAAATTCACTTTCCATATAGCAGTTCACATACACTTTGTCTCATGACATTGACCACAATTCAGCACAATGCAAAAGCTCCTCTCCCACTTCCTCCCCGTAGTTACCTTTTCCCTGTGTCTATCCCTCCATGCACCCCTGCCCCCTGAGCTGTCTCCCTGTGCATAAATAGCCCTTCTTTCTCCCATGACTATTCTCTCCAAGGAGTGTATTTAACTCAGGTAAACGTTCAACTCCTATGCCAGTCTTTTGCTTGGCTAGTAGCCACAGGTGTGGGTTCAGTTCCAGACCTGAAGGGCAGCTAGGGGCCATGGTCTCAGTAGTTCCACCAGGCTCTATCAGATCAGCGAACCTGGTCTCCCTTTTTTTTTCCAAATGATTTTGAGTTTTGTTCCACATTGTTCTCTCTCTCTATCCAGGATCTCCTACATAGATCTGCCTCTGAGTGGTTGACAGTGGTAGCCGGGCACCATCTAGTTCTTCTGGTCTCATAGTCGTATAGGCTGCAGACTGGATGGTGTACCAGATGCTAGGACTAATTCTTTCTATGAATCTTTGGCTTTTTTCATTCTTCTTTGCTCTGGACAAGGAGTGACCCATCATTGCATCTAGATGTCTGCTTGCAAGCTTTTAAGATCCTAGTCGCTACTCACCAAAGTAGGAGGTGGAACAATGTTTTGTGTAGTATGCTATGCCAATTGAGCTTGATGTCCCCTGCGACTATGGTCCTGAACCCACAGGTTCAACTACTCAGTCCCTCTTGGTAGCTGGCTGTGACCAAGACCTTGCTGTAATTTTGACTGGAACTACATGGAATATAGAGATTAATTTGGAGAAACTGACATCTTTCTTTATATCTTTCCACTATGAATAATTTTACTCTTAAAATTATATACTAATGGAAGTGAAAAGTGAAAAAGACATTGTACAAAAAGTAAACAATCCACCTCTCAGTACCATGAATTCAGAATTCACAGTGTCTAAGGTTGTGACTTGATGGACAGTGGGTGAGAACTGCAGAAATAACAGCATTGAGAAACACTTAAAAGATTTGGTAATATGCTCTGACCTTTGCTGCTGCTGTTGTTATGTGCCGTCGAGTCGGACCTGACTTATAGCGACCCCTCCTTGGGTTTCTGAGGCAGTATCACTACAGGAGTAGATTGCCCCATCTTCCTTCCAAGGAGTGGCTGGTGGGTTTGAACTGCCAGCCTTCTGGTTAGGAGTCAAGTGCTTTAAGCCCTAAGCTCTGACCTTTAAGTAACTGTATTACATAGAGAACTCTCTAGTGGAAAAAGTACTGCACAGTAAATTACAAAAGGCTGAAAATGTATTTTGGACTTTTGTTCACTTGAAATTTTCATACCTAATATATTTTATGTAGTTAATGTCAAGGAGAGGGTATGTGAATGCCACTGATATGTCTTCCGTAGAGAATAAAATTCTTATTTAGGAAATTTAACTGTCTTGACAGCTGAACTTCAAATTCAGGTTCTGTCTCATTTAATTTTTTTTTTAATTAAATCATTTCTGGCATTTGTGGGATCTCTGGTGGCGTAGTGCCTAAGGCATCTGACTGCTAACCAGAAGGCTGGCGGTTCAAACCTACCAGCCACTCCTTAGAAGGAAGACTAGGCAATCTACTTCCGTAGAGATACCTCCTCAGAAACCCAAGGAGGGGTCGCTATGAGTTGGAATCGACTCAACGGCAGTGAGTTTGAGGGTCTTTTGGTCTGGCACTTTTAGGAGCAACTAGCACACATTATTGTTTTTAAAATGTTCCAGACATTTAAGAGATCATTAATAGTTAAGCAATTTAAATTTCTTGACTCTAGTTAGGTTATTAAAAATGTGAAATATCTCCACATTTTGTATACGCTCATAATGTGGATGTATTTATTAGAAATAAAAAGAGTAAACTTTCCAATGGCTTCCTACTGTACTCAGACTAAAATCTCAACTTCCTACAGAGTCTGCAAGGCTCTTTAAGACCTGGTTTCTTCCTCTTTCTTCAAAGTCTTCTTTTACTTTGTTCCTCTCTCAAATTTAACCCAGGTCATCATCTCATCCCTCAAATTTACCACGCTCATTATCTTGTCTTTAAAACTGCTCTCATCTCCGTGAGGCAGGCTCCTTCCTGTCATTCAGTTCTCAGATCCACTGTCAAATCCTCCTAGATACCTTTCTTGACCGCCCTATTTAATGTTGCCCCCACTCTATTCTCTATCAAGACTATCAAGAATGTTTTATTTTTCTCATAGTAGTTATAGCTACTTGTCACTACACTCTTGTTTCTTCATTTATTGCCTGCCTCTCCTCCAGAATATGCTCTTTGAGAGCAGGAAACTACTCTCTCTTGCTCACCATTATATTTTTATAGCTAGCAATAAGTATTTGTTGCACAAATGAAGAAACAGATAAAGCTTTAGTTAACACCTTAATACAGTGGATCCCCCATGGAATTTTCTTGTTACCTCCAATGTCAACATAAACAGTCAGGAGTGCTCTATTATTACTCAAATTATATGCATTCTTAATACTTTAGCTATATATAAAATTAATATTGTCTTTTTCTTCAAGTTAACAAGACAGAGAAAAATCTAGGGTTTAAATAGATTTTTTTTTTCAGGGAAATACAATTTCTTAACTTTGGAACAATTACATAAAGTACTAAAAAGCTTAAGAGTTAATTTTCAGTTGTTGAACACTGACAATCCCAGTATGGAAAAAAAATTCTAAAACAAGTATTTTGTGACATTACAAGCAGAATGTACAACAGATTAATCAAAAGAAAAGCAACAATGTTTAAGAAACAAACAGATAAAATAAATGACAGACCCAAATGGTGGGTCCACTTTAATTCTCTTATAAAAATATTAACTTATGCATTATGAAGATGAAAACGTCTTCTACTATGAAATGTCCATTTTTACTTTACCATATACAAACAAGTAAACATACCTGCTCTGATTTAAGCACACTGAGTTCCTGCTGAAGTTTATTTTCACCAAGTTCAGTTGCCTCAAGCACTGATTCATTTGTCACTGGTGGCAAGTGATCCAAAAATAATTGTTCCTGCTGGCTTTCTTTCCCAAGAGTCCTATTTTCAAAAGGTATTTTCTCTTCTTCCATTACTTTTGATTCTTCACCAAAACCTTTATTTATTTTACAAAGCGGCTCTCTAGAATCCTCGTTTGTCATAGTCACAACTTTGTCTTTAGAAGAACTTGACTGAACACTAAACACATTTACATCCTCTGTCCTGTTATGATTGATTATGATTTCTAGCTCTCTACATCTCAGTAAAACTTGCTCCTTCTCTTGCTTTAAAGATTTAACTTCTTCACTTAGAACATTAATCTCACCATGTTTTTGTTTTAATTGTTCAGAAAGATCAGACAATCTCTCTGATAGTTCTAATTTTTCTCGCTTGGTGACCTCAAGTTTTTCCATAAGTTCTGTGGTATCTTTCTCAACCACCTCACCAATTTCCATCATTTCTGCTGTAACAGTTTTATCATCGTCAAAGACTGAACTTTTGATTTTTACTGTAGTTGGATTTATTTTCTGCAAATGATGAAGCTCCTCATTAAGTGCTTTAAGCTTACTTTTATACTCTACTTCTTGTTTGTTTTTACTGTCCTCTAAATCGGTTTTCACTTTGAGAAGGCAAGCATACTCCTCCTGTAACTCTTGGTAGTTAACTTCAAAGTTTTTTTCAGCAAATGAAAAAGTGTTCCTTTGTTTTTCAATCTCTTCATTTAGCTGAATACATTGTGTTTTGAGGTTTTTGTTTTCCTCTGTAAGTGTATCTATTTCCTTTTGCCAGCTACTATCTATAGATTTAGAATTGCTGGAGTCCATGAAAATGAATCTTTCTTCTTGATTAACAGGAGTATATATTTTTAAAATGTCTTCAAGAGCTTTCTTTTCATCTTTAAGAATGCTATTCTCTGCTTCAAGTTGTATAAATTTTTCTTGAAGGTCATCCTCTCTTTCTTTCATTTGTTTCTGCAATAATTCAGTTTTAAGTTGTAATTCCTGAACTTCTTGTTCAAGAGTACCTTTTTCCTTTTCTTCTTGTCTGAGTATTTCAATTTCTTTTAGAAGTTCGTTGATCTGAAGAGTCATTTCTTCTGATTTTGAATTCATAAGAGATTGCTGTAAATCTTTTAGCTTAGAAATTTCCAAAATTAATTGATTTTGCTTAGTTATCAAATTGTCTTTTTCAAACTGCATGGTTTCTATTTTCTGACTCATTTCATTCTCTAACCGATCTATCTGCTGTTTATAGTGAATCCCTAAATTATCTTTAAGTTTTTCAACATTTAATCGATGTTCGATTTCTAAATCTTCCTTCAGTTTGGAAAGTTCTTCTTCATGACTGAACAGAAGTTGTGTTCTTAGCCTTTCTAATTCAGCTTCTTGGGATTCAGCCATTCTGTCTAACACAGCATTCTTTTCTCTTTCTAACATTTCAAGTTTTATCTTGTAATTTGTGACCTCTGCTTCATGTTTTAATTCTAGTTCCTTCCTCGATTCAGATGCAGAAACAATCTCGGCTTTCAAATCCTCCACAGTACCAAGAGACTTATATGCTTCATTGAGTTTACTTTCATGATCAGCTATTGTCTGTCTAGCTCTCTGAATTTGGTCCCTTGAAAAGCTTAATTCATCCAATAGGTCTTCAAGTTGTCTCTGTAGAGCAGACTTTTCTCCTGAAATTACTCCTAGCTCTTCCTTAAATTTTTCCTTTTGAGAGTTAGTATCTTGCAACTTTATATTCAGTTCATTTATTGCCACATTCATTAACTTTATTTGATCTTCATTAACTGTAATATTTGGATGCGACCTTAAAGCATTCTCCATTTCTCCCTTATGTCGTGTTTTAAGTTCCTCTATTTGTGACATGTGCTGCTTTATTAACTCTTGTTTCATCTGCACTATCTGCTGCCCATACATTTCATCCAGCTCTGCCCGGAGTCGTTCTAACTTTCGTTGTGTTTCTTGTTCCATTCTTTGTACAATTTCATTTTCAAATTGGCTATCTTTATGATTTCTCTTTTGAAGTTCTTCAACCGTCCCCATTAACTGTTTCACTTCCTCAGAACACTGTCTTTGTTTTTGTTTAGAATTACTCAGCTCCACTTTCATGTTTTTTATCTCTTGGTTCTTTTGTACAACCTGTTCCTGTAATTCTTCCAGTAGTTTATCAGCAGCTGTTAGTTTATCCTTTAGCTCAAGAGTTTTGTTTTCTTCTTCTATTATTTTTGTATTTAATTCTTCAATGATTGTCTCCTTTTCCTGTATTTCTTTCTTAGTAGAGTTTTCTACTTTATTTTGTTCCTTAGAAAGAAAAAAATGAAAATATAAGAATGGCATTTTTAGCTTCTGGCAACTGATATCACTTAACTCCTTTACCAAAAGACTGATAGAAGTCAGCTTTTTACATAATGCTATGCAAAGTAACTGTTGGATTTGCTCCTCAATTTCTCTAAAAACTAAGAGGTTTGTGTTTCCAGCTCTGAAATGAACAAATACTATAATAGTTTTGGCCTTCTTGTAAAGAAGAAATTTCTTTACATTGCTCTAAGCCTACAAGTAAAAGGCCAGATTCTATGCTATATAAATTAACCAAAGCAATGAGTGCTATCCTCTGCAATCCCTTGAGAGAAATCCTGTAGCTTTTCTCTTGGCATCACACAGCCCATCCTATGCTATCCTGTGTTATTACCAAGTGCTAAGACTTCTTACTTTAATTTTTACACTACACTATGACATTAGTAAGGCATTTTAATCTCTTTAAATCCTAGTGTTTTCATCTGTACAATAGTTTGTACAGATATTTCCTCTAGCTCATAAGATACGTTCTAAAGCAAAATGAAATAATATGTATTATTTTATTTTAATGTTCTACATACAAATGCAATATATTTATATATGAGAAAAAAATCTGTAAGACATTTGGAAACTATTGGAAAGTAAAATCAGATTAGCCAACTAAGTTAAACTCTTAAGTAACTAATGTAAAAAAATGTTAACATTGTTACAAAAATCTAACTTTTCTATTACCTAATTTTCTATAGAGAAAAAAATTTGTAAAACAGCATCACTCAATTCAAAATAGTCCAACACCTCATATAATTACAAACAACCAGAATTCTGCATTCAAATACTGAATACAAATTTAGTATTTACTTTTCATAGTATCATTTATTTCAAACATACATGATTTTAGACCACTTACTTTGTGCTGAAAAAAAGGCAGTCCTGTGGTCAAGGATATGACTACTTTGTTTTTTGGCATGAGAATGGAGAGATGGGAATAATATACTTCTTGCCTATGACTACTGCACGCTAGGAATTTCAGAGTATTAAGACAATGAGAATGAGCTATGATCATCAATACAGTCTTCTAGGGGACCAAGACAGATTAAATTATTACCCTAATTGCACTTAATAAATGCTAGCTAATATTTTTCTTATCCAAATATTGTTTATAAAAATTTTATAAAAGTACTGTATTACATATATCTATTTTTCTAATTAAAACCTCTAACATTTCATTTTGTTTTGAAAATATTTTTGGAATTTCAAAACAATAGCTAAAATAAACAGAAATACCTTTACATGAAAAAAAGAAAGCATAGAAATTCTGGTTAAATATTTAGATCCTCCCAAGAATTTGGTTTAACATGGGCTGATTGTTTTCAAGGAATTCAATTATGAATATTATCTTAAAAACAGTATTACTGTGAGACTACTAACTGTTTTTGAAATAAACTATTTCATATGTTTCAAAAGTTTTGTTAATTATGAAATTTTGTGATCACGTACACAAAAAAGATAAACACTTTCATAAAAAACTTGAAGTTAACTGCAAAGCTACTGTAAATTGGTTGATTGCCTTAAAATAAACATACCATTTCATATGCTCTAATTTTCTCTTGTAAGAAACTAATTTGCATTTTGAAACCTTCTTTCTTTTTTTGATAATCTTCTAATAGGTGGTCTTGTTCTTCCAGCTGTTGCTGATGACTGAGGATTTGCTGTTTTGCTTGCAGTAAATCTGCAGCTGTGCTACTATGAGTGCTGTTTCTCAGAGTTTCACTAGCCTGTAACTTAAAAACAGAAAGAAAACCAAAGCATTAAAGCTGTGAAGCAACTGCAGTAGGGACCATAAACCTTTTGGAGTATTACTCAGCTCATAATTGCTCTTTGGGAACTATACTGGGTTTACATTTGTGAGAGCCCACCAAACATACTGCCATTGCTGAATAGCTCAATAATGGCATATTACTCAAGTTGAACCACTGAGAGTCTCTTTTTCATGAAAGAAAAAGGGAAAGTAGGTCTAGTAAGAGAGATAAGAATCAGACAGACATGCAGAAGAGAAGTGGGGGCTGAATGACCTTATTTTCCAGATTTCTGATGACTTTCCAGTCTTTAGTTCCAATCCCTTTCAAGCACCTAACGGTATCTCTGCCCCTGAACTTGATAAAATAATCTTGTATCCTTACATTAAATTCCTCTCTTCTGCTTAAACTATCTCAAATTGTTTTCTGTTACTTGCCATCAGAAACCCTGTTTAATACAAGATTCCTATGGCTCTAATTACAGGTAAGTGGAATGCTTCTAATCTAGTTACCAACTGTAGAACTTAATTGAAATAAAACTATACCAGGATTGGCAAAGCTCGGATGTGATTACAGGTTCATTTCTGTAAAACTACCATCAGCCTCATAAGGCTTTGCATGATTCCAAAACAGAGTCAGAAGCATTAAAAAAAAAAAACTAACAGCAAGAAATCATTCAAGGAGTATGAAATGCCTTAGGCACTATGCCACCAGAACTCCAGATAATAATAGATATTTACTAGTTTTTCCACATGATAACTAATAAACAAATGGCTCAAACAAATTTAGATTTGGTGTGGAAAGTATAAACATAAAACAAATCACTACGGAAAGTCTAATAAATTTTCTTCTATGAGTAATACTTACATGTTGGAATTGAATCTGTAATTTTTGACTTTGTTCTGTCAATTCTAAAAATTCTCTCATTGTCTCATCCTTTTCTTTTCTTGCCTGCTGCAAATTAGCAGTGAGCTGGGTTATGATACCATCTCTTTGTTTAATGGCAGCTTCAAATTCTTGTAACTAAAGGAATCCAGTGGAAAAGAAAAAGCGTTAGACTTATTTTTTAAACAAATTATGACTATAGGCAACTGTTCTTCAAAAATATGACATTCCAAATCATCTGTATGAGATCAGTCAACATTTACCCTGAAGTAAAGATGAGAAAGTAAGTAGGTAGGAGGACAGGGAAGCTAGATTAATGGAAAGGGAATAGACAGAATACAAACAATGAGAATACTGACACACTGTGAAAAATGTAACCAATGTCACTGAACAATGCGTACAGAAATTATTAAATTGAACCCTAATATGCTGTGTAAACTATCACCAAAACTGAACTAAACATATTACAAATACATATATCTTTATGGGATTCGTATTGTTAATAGACTTCTTACAATTTGTAAAGCAGTTGCTTTCATATTTGAAAATCTGAAGCAATAGCTTTTGTTTTCAAACACTGAGAAAATTACCTGAACTAACTGTCAGGAAAAATACATTAGATCTGGCTTATCCATGTATCTACTTCCAGAAGGACAAGTGCCTTTCCCTTTAGAGGACCCCCAGTCTTGTTTCTAGGTAATACCATCATTTAATTCCCTTGTTTCTAGAGAGGATAAAACTGAAATGTACTCTGTCATCCTCATCAATGTCCTATTTTACTTAATCATAACTGACTGCCACAGACAACAGATGTCACTCTAACCATTAAGAGGTTACTTACAAGGACTCACTGACATTTTAATGGGCCTAAGTTATAATATTTTGAGGTGGTTTCTCTCAGGCTAGTTACCAAGTATCTATCCTACTGAAGTTAACTTCAGCCTAGATATCTCATACAACTAAATAAAATAATCCACATTATATTAGCCCTGTAAATGGAATCCTAGTTTTAAACTGGGTTTTTAAATGGTATGTTTACGGACAAATATTATAAGATGACTTTAATTTACCATTCAAAAAATCCCATCTTTAAACTAAACTATATATAAACACACACATACACACACACCCCAAACTAAACCAAACACACTGCCGTCAAGCCAAACCCAACTCATAGTGACCCCTCCTTGGGTTTCCGAGGCAGTATCACTACGGAAGTAGATTGCCCAACCTTCCTTCCAAGGAGTGGCTGATGGGTCTGAACCACCAGCCTTCTGGTTAGTAGTCAAATGCCTTAGGCACTACGCCACCAGAGCTCCCACATACACACACACACAAAACCCACTAGTAGCCTTGGTGGTGCAGTAAAGTGCTTGGCTGCTAACCAAAAGGTTAGTGGTACAAACTCACTAGCTGCTCCATGAGAGAAAGATGTGGCAAGCTGCCTCCTTAAAGATTTATAGCCTTGAAAATCCTATGGGACAGTTCTACTCTATCCTATAGGGTCACCAATAATCAAAACTGATTTACAGTAGTGGGCTTTTATCTATACCATCATTCAAATTTCCTATTTCTGTTTTTCTGAGTAGCAAACCAAAAGCCACAGAAGGCCGACATACCTGTTGTAGTCCTTCAGTTCCACAGGTGGCCCTCATTTCTTCTAGTTCTCTGTTTAGCTCTTCAATTTCATGCTGTTTCCCAGCCAATTCATTTTCCATCATTTCTAGATGAGTCTGAGTATATTGTGCTCCATGCTCAGAATATGAATCATCAATACCAAATTCTTCTTCCTAAATCAATTCAAGATTTTAATAATTCAATACCAGAAACATTTCTCTGGGAGAGGGATTCAAATATTAAATTCTACAGCAAAATCTACTTTAAAACATCATTTATAACCTGGGAATTTACTGGTGTGGCAACCTACTTGGTTGTTAATGTGATATGTACCTCAAGAACATAAACAAGTTATCTGCAAATTCACAATCAAGTTTTATAACAAAAAGTGAGAAATTTTGTTCTGTTAAATGTTAAAAGCATTTAGAAATCACACACAAAAAGTACATGCAGGAAAAACCTCTGTTAGTAAGCCAGGTAGTTTTAAAAACAGTTTAAAACATTAGTATCATGAGCAGTTTCATATACTATACCATTAATAAATTTGTAGACTTTTCTGTTCTCACCACAAAACTGCAACCATTTACCTGTATAAAAACAATTTCCTGATATATTATAATTTTAGACAGAATTTTATTTAAAGCTAAGAATTACATTCTGTATTCATGTGTTTTAATACATCCAGGGAAAATGCCTCTTTGGCAAAAATGGATATAGGTATTAAATTTAACTGAAGTATCTGAAAGACATGATAATTTCAAATGCTAATCATCCCTCAAACATCTGAGGGTTTACAATGCAAAAGATGCTGTACTAAACACTTTCATTTAAGTGAATTAAAGTTCAAACTCAGTGCAGTTCCTATTTGTCTCCTTCAGAAGGATGACTATAAACCTCAAGTTACTAGATCGTTTCTACAAAATGCTTCCTTAAAATCATTTAAATAATTGTTTTTGATTAAGCCCTATCCATTTTCAAGTAAAACAGTCTACTGGTACAATCTCCTTGAAAGGTGGTGTACAGGTTAAAAGGTAGGTATGGATGAAGAAGTGAGAGATGCTCCCCAAAATTCTGTTAAGGAAACAACACTGAGATAGCTATGCCAACCCTGAACCACATGGAGGTTTTCTGTAACATCACTGCCTGCTTCCTTTACATACATTTAGTAAGGAATTACTTAATGGAAGTCTCCAAGGCTGACCTAGTAAGAGATTAATTTCAGATTAAACCATTCAACAACCCCTCCTTTCCCCATTAACACTACAAAAATGAACTTTATCCCTGCCCACATCTTAATTATTCACCATCCTAAGCTAAAAGAATTCAAGTTAATGGAGTGTTTACTATTGAAATACGTAAGATAGAGTACCTCAGAATAAGGACTAGACCAAAATGGGCCAGAACACTTTAAAAAGTGAACATCCTAATTAAGAGTTGTTTATCAAAATTTGATTCCTTTTTATTTATCCTAAGGATAATTTCTGAAAAAACAAAACTTAAGGGGGAAAAAAAAAAAAACACCTTTAAGTTAACAAAATACTGCAATTTGTGAAAGCCATCAGAAGACAACAGTAGCAACTTTATTAAGATGATGAATATCAAGTCACTTAAAATACTTTCAAATTAAATACTTTTAAATTTAAATTAGCTTTTCTTGATTCTGAAATTAAATATTTTGGTAAGTTTCTACTAAAATTTTTACTTCAGAATAATAATGTAATGAAATGGATTTTTAAGAATATCTTCAAATATCCTGTGAAGCAACCAATACCCCTTTCAATTATACAAATTAATCCTCTGCTTGTAATCACAGTACTAATACACTGCATAATCAACATTCAACCCAATTTTTCTCTAATTTAGTAACAAGATTTCAAAAACAAAATTACAGTTCAGCAACTCATATGTACTGGATTCTTAAAATGCTGTATAACCTTCTTTTTTTTTTTTTTTCAGGATATTTGCTTTATTACAGTGGTCTGGAACCAAACTCACCATATATCTGAGGTCTGCCTGTATATGTAAACATCAATTCTAATGCAAGTTGTTCAGAATGTCATATGTATCCATTCTCTTGCTCTCTCTAGGTTGTATAACCTTTTTAAAAACTTAATTTTAAGTTGTTACAGTAATTGTGAAAATCTTGTCGATACTAATAAATTTTAGAAATTTAATATCATGTAAATAGGCAATAAAAAATTATTCCCCAGAAATAAATGAAAATTAATTATATTCCAAAGTTAGAATAAGGATCATTAATAGTTCTTTTTTTTTTTTAGGCTAAAATGTTTCAATGTTCATGAATTAAAAGTCTACATATTGTAAATATGTCAGTTCTGCCAAACTATCTATAGATTCAATGACATTCCAGTTAAAATCTTGACAAATTTTCTGGAAAACATAATTTAAAGAATGGAGTTGCAAAGGTCAATTAATAGCTAAAAC